TATGGCACACTAGTAATAATTTATTATAATAACAGTAATAATGTTTTATTATGGGCCCCATTACAATTATTATAGATGCATTGCTTCTTTGAATTGATGTAGCAAGAAGCGATGTAACAAGAAGCTATGTAGCATTTCTCTGTAAGCTGGATGTAGATGCCTCCTTAAACTTGAGAGCAAGTATTATATGTTACTAAGTATTTGGAACCTTCCCCAGGATAGAGGGTTTCCTTCTCTATCCAAAGGAAGATCCAGGGAATATAAGATGGTTTCCACTCTTAGGAGCACTACTTGAGACGTTTCGAGGCAAAAAGTGTCAACTTGTCTAGAAGAAGCCTTGCTATTTTGCCAGTCATGCCAAAACTATACAGCAAATCTATTTCTGTAGATTAAAATGTGCATCTTTGCCATTGCTGCTATTTCTTGAGTTTGAATCACACAACTCAGTCACATCCAAGTCTATGTATTTAGCACATTTATCTTCTGGATAAGAAAAAAATATCATGAACCAACAGTCCATTCTTTTTGAAAAGGATAAGAAAAAAAGTGCTTAGATTTTGACTCAAAAATTATTATCTTTAATGTACTGGAATTGTTTCCAGTTAAATATCACTGGCTTGACAAGCAAATTCATCTGTGATGGCTTGCAAATTCTTCAGGACTTTGCCTTTTCATAGTCCACCAACTGGTGCAGATGTTTTAGCCCTCCTGGTTTAATGGATGGTTATTCTTTGTCATAAAGAATAAGAACAATGGCAGCCTCATCACCAATCTTAGAGAGCTGGGTGTTTAAGAGAAATCCCATTACATACATATTGTAATGCCATTACAACCCACTGTAAAGGTATGCTCCTCAGGGAGAAAACTCAATAAGGCATTCTTCCAAATCTATTCAAAAGATGTATCAGTGAGATGAAAAGTAAACCAGACAAATTAATGAGAATAAATGAAAACCAAATTCACTGCCATTGAGCCAATCCCAACTGATAGAGATCCTATAGGACAGGGCAGAACTGCCCCTATGGATTTCCGAAACTAAAGCTCTTGATGGAATTAGAAAGCCCTGTGTGTCTCCTGCAGAGCAGCTGGTGTGTTTGAACTATGGAACTTGTGGTTTGCTCGTCAATGTAGAACCCCACCAGCAGGCTTCTACATCAGTGAGAGCTCATTCTAATTATGCAAAGATTCTTTGCTTTACAAGACAGTTTTTTTGCTAAAGAATTTCTTCAAATAGCTGAGTCTCTTTTTGGAATTTCCAAAATTGGATTTGCTTTACAAAATGTTGATTAGACTTAACTTTTCAGGAGCAAAGAGAGTGTGCAAAATGAAGCCATTGCCTGTCAGGCTTGAATGGTGACGTCTCACTGAGTGATGGCAGTGAAAACAAGGTTTCTCATTCTGTCCTCCGAAATCGCACAAGTCAGAAAGTCCAAATGTGCCATTCCCTGAGGATCAGGTGGTCTTCAATGGGCAGAAAAGGCAGGCCAGCAGTGGGTCAGCGCCCATCGCGAACTAAGCGATTCTCAACACTGAGGGTGATTGATGGATCCCTGCTCTGAATTAATCATTAATTATTTGATATGTACTGATTATTAGTGTAAATAGAGATAACATTTAATTGAAATGATTATGAAGAAAGAGCTGATGGCCTTTATTAAACTAAGCTAAAACAGAATTTTGGGGGAGATATTTTGGAGCATTTCTTACTCCAAATAGAAGTCTAATGTAAGGAAAGAGAAAAAGAGAAGCCAGAGTGGAAACACAAAGGAATATATGGTGAGAAGGAACACATGTCAATTACAGACAAACGACCCATTTCTCCAGTGTGAAGCCCTTCCTTTACGAGTCCCGCAAGTACTAGCAGATAGGTAGGTTGCAGCGAGTCTGGCTAGCTCACGCTTCTGTTATGTAAGAGGAAAGTGTAGCAATATGTGCTGCATAATCCAGGTTAGCAAGTAAGTATTATGCGGGCACTGTTCTGGGCTCAACGTGAGGAAAATAAGACAGAGAAGGAAGAAAGCACACATTTAATAATATGCCCAAGTACCTTCAAAACCAAACCAAAAACTCTCAATGATGGAGGCAATTCTGACTCATGGTGACTAGATAGGACAGAGTACAACTTCTCCTGTGGGTTTCTGAGACTATATATAACTCTTGACTGGAGTACAAAAACCTCATCTGTCCCCTGTGGAGCAGCTGGTGATTTTGAACTGCTAACCTCACATCAAAAAGCCCTATGTATAGCCATCTGGGCTCCTTGAGTACATTCAAAGACTATCCGATATCTTTCCATGTGGTTCCTAGTTGCCTTGCTGATAGATAAATCAGCATTTTACATTTTGACACTGACAAGGCCTTATTCAGACCTTTCCCCAAACTGATAGGTCACTAGTGTCTGTTCAGATTTTGGCCAAGTGATGAGAATCTTTTGCAAATTTCTGTCTATTGTGTAGAAAAGGAAAAAAGAAAAATTATTATGAATGCTACAATATAAGTAGCAAACACTCCAATAAGCAGGAGGGCCAACAAACAGGTACTCTTCATGAGGGGCACTGGAAGCCTGGTGCTGCAGTGACTCAACATTCAGCTACTAACTGTGAAGTCCGTTGTTGGAAGCCATCAGTTGCTGGGTGGGAGAAAGAGGTGGCCATCTATGACAATCTGCTTTGGTAAAGCTTTCCATCCTTGGAAACCTAAAGGGCCAGTTCTGCTCTGTTCTATAAGAGCACTGAGTCGGAATCAATCTGAGAGAAAGAGGTTAGTCTTGGAGTTTGTAAGAAGCACACTATATAGAATTTCACACTACATGGTATTTCTATAGGGCAGTTCATTGCTGGACACCTCTGATTTTCATTTTCCTGCCTTGTAAGCCTGTTTCTGCTTTTATGTACTCCTGGGTGTATAGATAAATAATCAGAAGAAATGGGGTGCTGGAGATTGGGGGGAGGTTGGGACCTGATGAAATGAAGATTTTGTGAATGAGGAGATGAGGATAATGGACTAGGGGGAGTGAAGGATAAGTTTGAGATTCAATGACGAGAAACACGAAAATGATTACTTTGGAGTGTTGCTACTAAATGCGTGTTCAGGTTAGTATTTCATGTCTTGCTCCTTTTGTGTTCAGAAACGCCCCAATCATCTCTTACATTCCGTTTCTATTCAGAACCAGAGGCAGCTCTGACTGTATTGGGGAGGGGGCTATCCTCACTAACCAAGGGAGAAAGTCTGAGCTGAAGCCCTAAGGGAAGATGAGTCCACAGGATGTGCAAATAGGGCTTCTTGAAAGGATGGGGAAAGGGTTGAAGCCACTGAATCAGGCAGCTGGGGAAGCGATGCTTCAGTTCTAAGCATAGGCACACAAGGTAGGTGGCTCCCTGGGCGGAGGTAGGGGGCTGCTCTGGGTAGCCTGTAGGCAGGAAACTGGGAACCTGTGTGCCATGGGCCTCGCTCTGCCAGGACAAGGTGTTGGGGTGTAAGGGTGGGGTGGGGGCCTGAGGGGTGGCTTGGAGTCCTGGCGGTGGCTGCCTGACGTCACCGGCCTCTCTGGCAATAGGCTGTGAGCTGAGCTCCCTGGAGCAGCGGCGGCGGCGGCAGCGGCGGCCACGGC